CTCTGTACTTTATGATCAAAATAGTAGGTGCAACTTTGCTTTACCATTCCATCAATAAACTTGAACAATCGGAACAAGATAAGCTTGCTGATCCTGTTCACTCTTTCCCTGGACTGAATCTTGACCCTAGCACGTCAAATTACTGCCTCGATTATCTTACATCAACCCCTCTCAAGAACTGCAAAAGTGTTCTCTGGCATGATTTATTAAACAACACAATAACATCGCACCCGAAAAAGGCAACAAACCCCAAACAATCGAAGAACTGATTGCGACCCTTAAGACTATTCCAAACCTCTTTTGCGTCGTTACCTGTCAACGCAAAGGTGCTCCCTACATATTCGACGATCTTCTAAATTCATTATACTGTTACGTCATTGACGTGACCAAGCATATTATCAGTGCTTCCGAAAGAATTGACGAATCGTTAATTGTCGAACACCGAAAACTGCACCAGGCTGCTGTCATAGAGTCTAGGACTCTAGCTACTGTGCTGCACTATTTTCCCGACTTCAATAGAATCTTCAAAACACGTGGCACCAAGCGTCGAACGGCTGCCGAGAAGCGCGAAGCTAAACGGCGAAAATTCTAAACAGATACGCAAATCAGAGTCCTAAACCTTAAAATCTCAACAGGCGTGCTCATCGAGTCTCTGGCTCTGAGCCCCTTTTAAGATTTTAAGATTTTAACATGTCTAAACAAAACACCCGAAATCGGGTCAAGTCAGTCTCTGATTCTTGTAGTACGTGCTGCGAGAAAATCTTTAAAAATGAAAGCTCTTTCGACTGCTTTTGCTGTGGCTGTCGAATGCACCTGAATGAAGACTGCACTGGTCTAAGTGAAGCCGCTGTCAATGGAGTACCAGCCTTAGGAAAAAATGCTCTATTGATATGCAACAAATTTTTTGAAGAAAAACGTCAAGATAATTTGACCCAAGCTGCCCATGAAGCTACAACCTCAAAAGAACTTCGAGATACTCAAATGAAAACCCTGGAAATCGAAATGACTGACCTCAAAAAAACAGTGACCAAAATCAAAACGCTGCTAAGCACCAAACAACCTGATTCAGATTATCCAACCCAACCTAGCTCAATTGCCAGTCGCCAAAAACCGCCACCGAAACCCGCCGAGGAACTCGATGGCATTCGCATACGAGAAATCGCTGAGTCAACGGAGAAGGAAGCAAGATTGCGCCAAGAACACGATCTCGTCGAAGTTCAAAAATTATTGACCCATTTGGATGTCAATGCCTCAATTGGCGATGTCATACGCCTGGGTCGATATGACGAGAACAAGATAAGAACAATCCTATTAAAAGTGCCCAATGCATATCAACGACGAATGATATTGCTATCTGCGAGGAAACTGAAAAACTCCCCTCAACCAATTTTCCTCAGCCAACAACTGACGAAGGAAGAAGCTGATCAAGAAAACCTTGCCCTCGTCAGAAGAAGGCAACTTATCAGCGACAAATCTGTAGACAGAAAGGACGTAAGAGTCCACGATGCAACTCTGTACATTCGAAAAGGTGGAAAGTGGATAAAAGAGAAACTTCCAGATCCCGAAGCACCCAATTGAATAGCAGCGACGATGAATATCTTTATTTACAATGTCAGAAGTATTCTTGAGTATCAACGGCGGACATCCTTCTCTAATGCTGTCCAAGTAAAAAACAGTTATCAAGTCATCTGCCTAACTGAAACCTGGTTGACAGAAAGCATCGGCGACGCTGCACTTTTTCTGACAAACTACGTTATCCACCGAAATGACAGACCGAGTGACAAAGGCTTGACAAAACATGGTGGCGTACTCATAGCAGTAAACCGTAACATTCCAAGTAGCCAAATCAATTCCGCGTTTCAAGATTGTGTTATCATCCGCATATCACTGAACAAGCCAATTTTAATATGCTGCATCTACAGCGCTCCTTCAAACAATACCTACACATGGGGAACCTCAGATCTAATCGATTTCCTAAAGTTCCTGAGGCGTATGCAATTTGAACAAAGTGCAATTTGTTCGTATATAGTTGGAGATATAAATTTTAACTCTACACACTGGCCGTCAATGACTTCAACTTCTCTAGATGAGCAGTCAATCCTTGACGAACGCTGTGAGTCAAACTTCCAACAACTAATAAAAACCCCTGATGGAAAATCACTAGACATTCTCCTTAGTAACAAACCGCAATTTGTCACCAGCGTAAAACTTGACAACCGTCTGAGTAGTCTATTCAGTTCCGACCATTTGCCACTCCATGCCAAAGTCTCATTTGACTACCGACCTGTTCATAAAAAGACACCAGCCATCAAACAAAAACTAGACTTTGGCATTTTCGTGTACAAGAAAGCAAACTGGGAAGAAGTGAATGAATTCATTCGCGAACACCCCTTCCAACCATTTTGCTTGAGCAACGTTGAACTGATGCTCGATCATTGGTACGAGTGATTATACGAAATACTACAGGACCTGCTACCTATCACTACAAAACACAGGTCTGAACTAGCTCCTTGGGTGGGAAGCGATTCCTCCAACCTTAACAAGAAATTAAATACACTCCAACTTAAAAATCAGCGAAAACCTACCGCATCGAACGGAGGCAAAATTGAAAATCTGCAAACTGAACTAACACTGTCCCTTCAAAATGACCAACATCTCCACGAAAAAAAAGCTTTTTGAGAATGGGAAATTTAGCGAAATACAACGATATCTAAAATCGATCACCAAGTCTTGCATGATCCCTTCAGAGATCTTCCTAGATCAAAAAATAGCCAATACAGACGCTCAAAAAGCTGAATTGTTTAACATATATTTTCAATCAGTTTTCACACGAAACGCCAACGTTGGGAAAGCAGAACGACAAGATAATGTTCTTCTGAACAGTATCAATTTCACTAACGATGAAATGGAAGATGCCCTGAATGAGCTGCACGTAAATAAGGCAAATGGACCAGACATGATTGGTAATACTCTTCTGAAAAACCTCTCAAAGTCACTACCAAAATCACTTCACTTACTGCTCAACTTGATTGCAAATAAAGCAATATTTCCAATTAAAATGGAAGATCAGCGAAATCGCACCAATTTTCAAAGACGGGGATAAACAAGACGTATCAAACTACAGGCCGATCAGCCTGCTCTCAGCAGTTTCAAAACTGCTTGAGAAACTAATATTTGATAAACCGGCCCCAATTGTCTACCCAACCCTAACACGGTTTTAGACCTAAACGATCGACGATAACAAACTTAATAGAGTATCTACACGAGATATTTAGCTGCCTAGATTCGCCAAACTGCAACTACTTGAACACCTTCTACTTGGACTTTCAAAAGGCTTTTGACAAAGTCTCGCACGGAATCCTCATGGAGAAAATATCGACTGCTGGAATTGGAGGAAATTAATTATCTCTGATACACAGCTACCTCTCGAACCGGAAGCAAACCGTGAGGCTGAATGACACAATTTCCGGAGAGCTGGAAGTCTTCAGCGGCGTTCCCCAGGGCTCTATACTCGGGCCGCTTCTCTTCCTAGTCTTCATAAATGATCTACCGTCCTGTGTCATGTCCGCAACATTTGGTTATGCAGACGATTACAAAATAGTTGGAGACAACCCTTTAACTCTCAACATAGATGTTGGGAGACTTTGGAGGTGGTGCGAGGAAAACTTCATGTCAATGAACCTGACGAAAAGTAAAGTCCTCCGAATCAAAGGATCAGCTACGATTGCACTCCCCAGTTACAGCTTCGAAACCACTGAAGTAATGAAAGATCTGGGCATCCTGATAACCGACACGCTCTCTTGGACGCAACACGCAAAAAAGAGGGCTGAAAAAGCCTTGAACGCTCTCTTCGTACTCAAAAGGAATTTCTCAAAGACAAATTTCGCGACCAGAAAAAACGCATATATCTGTTACGTTGTGCCAATCCTGTGCTACGGTTCAGCTATCTGGAAACCATCAAAAGGTGACTTAGGAATCATAGAAAGTGTGCAGCGGAAAGCGATCGCGTGGATTTTCATGACAAGCAATTGCCATATCTCCTATAAGACAAACTCGTGAAACTTAACATCCTTCCTTTGTCTCTATATCAAGAGCTTCATGTTGGACTGCTGTTTGCAAAAATACTAGCTGGAAAAGTTGACATCGACTGGAGAAGCCATGTAAGCATCACTGACGTTGGAATCCGAAGAGCTCAAATGACACGAAATTTTGCCTGCAAACAAATGCGTCTGAAGAAGTGCGAGTCGGATTTCTGGTTTCGGGCATGTCGTCTTGCTAATCTGTACAACGAATACTTCAAATGTGACATATTGTTTCACCCAGAATGCAAAAACAGACTTCTAGGAATGTACACAAAGTTTTTCAAAACTCGCTACAACGAATCAGACACATGCACTTGGCGCATTTTATGCGAATGCAACAACTGTAGAGACCTGAAGAAACTTTCACTTATAACTGAAAACTAAACTTTGAACAATGCAATGACTGGGTTTTATGCGAACCCTTGGATTATATTCCTAAATCTTTTGTTATTATTATTATTAGTTAATCTGAGCGTACTGGCCGATAGCCAAAAACAGTTACGATTTTGTCGACCCGATGTTGAAAGGACCACACAAAGAACTGGCTTTGGTAGAGACGGTTAAAAGCATGTAAAGCTGTGTTCAGACGCTAGCCAGTCGTTTTACCACTTAGCTTTATTTTCCGTCGATATGTACTTCCGGGCGAATGTTACACTGATCACAAATTTCCAGTCTGTATTTATCGATACTCTCAATTTTTTGAAAAATTTTATTTCCTGTTCGAATCACGACTGAACGGGCTTTAATATAATAGATCATTCAACCCATTCAGGATGATTATTCGTATAATCGGTTGGAACAAAAATGAAATACAATCAGCTGAGCTAGTGCCTGCGTTCGAGACCAACAAATTTTCATAGGTCCGAAATCGTTCGTGAAAACTCTTAATTTGCAATGATATTGGTAGTTCTCTAAAGTTTCTTTTTCAGAATCACTGTTGTTCCAAGATCGCATGCTGATTCACAATTCCCTAGTCGGCGATGAAAATTGACTTGGAAGCAGCAATATCTGGATTATTTAATCACCCGGTAAGTGGTATGTTTAAATGTTAACTTCTAGAATAAATTCATAGCGCTCTTTTTAACAGTTTGAAAATCTGAGTTGTTGAACTTAAAATAACTAACTGACAAAATTACTGATATTTTTGAAAACAGCGTTATGTGTCTGAGTCATGGTTGAAAAAATCTTTACCTGAAAACTCGCATTATTTTTCATATAAGTTGTACGAAGCAAAGCTGTTTAAAAATCAGAGTTTTCGAATTTGAATGATTAAACTGACAAAATGACTGTGATGCTTTTGATGACAACATCGTTATGTGTCTGAGGCATGCTTGAAAAACTGTGTTGCTGAAACCTTCTTTTGTTTTTAATTTAAGTCGGTCGCGAAGCAATCATATTTCAATTAATTATTTTTGCTTAGCGAAAAATAGGCCATCCAAAGAAATTGAACCCAATTCAAAAAAATGCTACCCAATATTTTTTTGTTATCATCTAAGGTTTTATTTTAGCTATATGAGAAGAACTTGAGCTTCAAGGAGATAGTGGATGATTGCAAAGATTTTTTTGAAGAATCGGGCTTCTCACATGTGCAGAATAAATCTTCTGCAGCTAAGTTAGTTTCTTATGCCTGTTCGTCTTTTAATGGATTTTTTTTGAAATACTTGATGAATAAATTTTCATTAAAATTCACTGGTCAAATGTAGTTTTAACATTCCTGCTCAAAGTATGCTTCTAAATGTTATCTGAAAAAAATTAAAAACAAAATGCCAACGTTGATTGAATCAATTACTGCAATAACCTACAGTGCAATGCGCAGTTTCGTTTGACACGGGAAAATATGTTTTGTTTAGGGAGCGCGAAAATCATGACAGAAGTTTTTATGAAACCATGTTGCCCCTGCTACTGCAAATAACACGGTAAGGACGGACCAATGTCTAAATTTTATCAAGAACCAACTTTGCCATTAAAAATCAAGAATAAAGCCAAAAAAAACATTTATCTCCGTTCATTTTCACAAGTATATTGTCATAATCGTTCTAATTGTTGCTAGTTACAACATGTTTTGGCAAATATTACTTCGTTTATGGTATTCTTTTTTTTGTGTGTTCCAGTTTAAAAAAATTTCTGCACATTGGTCTTGCTCCATCTCATATTCGCGTTCATCGCTGAATGTTGCGATATCATCAAGTTTTGTCTGAGGTTATAGCAGCAAAGCGAGAAATAGAGATGCCTCAAAAGTTTTATTAAAATGGTTCGATGCTTAGAAGTAAAATATGCCTGTGTTGTTATTAGCCTTCTAATAAGCGTATTCATATGCTTTATAAGCAGGCATTTAATCTTTTTTTCTGTTCAGCTAGATGTAAGATTATCGTTTAATGAAGTTTACTTTTAAGCGCAATTGCGTTTCCTGGGTGTAATAAGCAAGTTTTGTACTGATCAAATCTGTACGGTTAAAAGAGTATGATCTACCAGATGAAGTGATCTCTGCCATGTCGGTGGTAGACTAGATAGGCATTGGCAAGAATGAAGTGCGAAGTTTTTCGTTCATAAGCCAATATGTCGAAAAGCGGAATTATTGTTCCGACCACTGAAAGTGGGGAGAAACTTCGCTTACGGGTCTGTTTTAATTTTTTTCTTTTATAAAATTTTTTTCCCAGAAAAATCAGGTGCCAAAAATATAATCAATAAAATTTGTTGAGATTATATAGGATAAAGGCCTTTCAGTCGTGATTGGAACGATATTTAAAAATTCTCAGTTTCGAGATAAACCGGTTGCAAATCGTTCATTCTTAGTCTGATTTATGGCTATAATCTTTTCATTTAAGCTGTGAAAACTTAGTTTTACTTAAGTAAAATTAGTTTGCGAAGTTTTTTTAGCGCTATCTTGGGAATTTTCTACTGATTTTTCCAAAATATTTTCTTTTCATTTTTCGAAGAAAACTGTTGCTAAATATGCTTAATTAGCAAACAATTGCCACAAAGAATAAAATTTCAAACAATTGCCACAAAGAATGACTTACAGAAAATCTGAAAAAAACTCAGAAAGCTTATAAATATAACCCTATTACAGAAAATTTATCAGATATGAAAATGATACACAACGAAAAGAGAGCTGGATCAAAAGAAACATAGACGCTCGTTTCAGAAAAACAAAATACGAAACATTTTTTTCCCAAAAGTTTTCTAACCAGAAAGAGACAGACTTTTAAATTTTGTGCGACAGTCGCCACAATAATTCGTAGACATCACAGTCAAGTCAAAATTTGCAAAAAAAAAATTTCTGTATAATTGGGATTTTTTTTCGAAACTTTTTGACAAACTGAAACTACGCTGTTCCATCATCTTGAATCGACTTAAAATGAAATAACACTGATTTGTTTTATGCATATGACCTATGCAGAGGACGTGGTTTACGTGTACGCTGAAATCTGTGGTGGAAGTTCGGTACGGGAAAAAATCTAGTACCCGGTTGCAATATCCTTGATTATCGCAAGCGTAAAAAACTGACAAATTTAAACGTTGATTTAAAACTTTGCTGGTAAGTTCCATTTGAGCTATAACAATGCCGATTTAGTTTTTCAAAGGAGCTACCTGAGTCAAAAGAGCTACCTGTCAAAGAAATCAAAATTTTCTTTTTTTTTTGTAATTGTTTTATGTTTGAACCTGTAAAGTCAATGCAGATAATTAATTGAAAGCGCCAGGATCTTGAAAAACTTAATCAAAAATCACACTTGGCTGTCGTTGCGAAACGTGTTTCGTTTAGAAATCAAACTTGTTTGTCGCGAAGCTTTTTTAAAATCCCCATTCATCAATACTGCATCAGTCGTCAATTTTTTTGTGTATGAGCTTCTGTGTTACTGCTGTTAAATAACTGGTCTGGCTCACTTTCGCTTTTTCAATATCCTTTATTCAATAACTGTTGACCCTAGTAATTACCTTACTTAATTTTCATTGCTAACATCTGAAAAGAAATTATCTGGTCGCATTGAACAGTTTAAATGCTTACGCGAAAACAATGTTTACGCGAGAGAAGCGTCATAAAACGTGAGCTATCCAAAAGCGCAGTAAGTTTCAATATAAATTTAATGCTAACAAGGATAGTCTAAAATTGGTGTTCTTTTGTAATTTTAGATTTTTTTGAGCCTAAAACCTAAATAAAATATCTTTTATTTAAAGATCGGTACTCGATCGCCTTACGGCTGTTATTTGAAAGATACAATTGTGGTGCCCTGTCCCAGATCTGGTTTTAATGCTTAAGCCAGCCAAAATGTACTGAATGATTTAGAAAGCAAAAACGTTAAAACAGCTGCAATAATGGTAGGAACGAATGATCTAGAAGAAAGGGATGGCTGTGATGGGAATTTAATTGAAACAGAAAAAAAACGAAGAAACTGGTAACATTATAGAGGAATGAAAACTTCAGAGAAGTATTAATGAAAATATTTGGGTAGTCTGGAAAACACAAGAAGTGAAAGCGCTGATCAAAATGTACAAAAAACTTGAGATATCTTGGAATTGCTTACCATGGAACTAAAATTGGAATGAGTTTTTTGCCCTCAGATGGTTTGCACCCGAAACCTGAAAAGATACATTAAGCACTCATTTGAGGGCCGGCTTGCTGAGGAGCAGAAGAGATCTGTTTTTTTTTAACTGACTCAAACCGTTCTTGGCGATTAAGATACGATGAAGTGAAATGTAAGAAAACATAAAAAAGAACATTAGGAAACTACGCACCCCATAAAATACGAGAAACAGCTGACGAAACTACTCAATAAAGCTACTTGAAGATATACCAACAAACACATCTGACAACAAGAAGAGGAGTCTAATTAAAAAATTCGAAACTCTTGATATTGAACTTGAAACGAAAAGTTTTTAGTTTGGGTCAACTTTTTGAGAATTTTTTAATGGCTTTCGAATCACAACTGATTCGAACAATTTGGTTTAACACTCGACCCATTCCGATGATTGTTTGTGGTACCTGATTTTGCGTGGAAAAAAGAAAAAACTAAAACACACCCGAATACAAAGTTCCTCCCCATTCTCAACGGTCAGATTAAAAGTTTGTTTCGATGCAGTCAACGTAAGAAGATAAGCAAGCGTATGGATTTAGATGTATTTTTTGGAAAAACATCGCCCGGTTGAACTTACATAGCTGATTCAGTATGATTTCATGGTTCAAATTTTTCAGAGGTAAATCAGAGATGAAAATGATACACAACGTAAAGAGAGCTGGATCAAAAGAAACATAGACCCTCGTTTCAGAAAAACAAAATACGAAACATTTTTTCCCAAAAGTTTTCTAACCTGAAAAAAACAGACTTTTAAATTTTGTGCGACAGTCGCCACAATATTTCGTAGACATCACAGTCAAGTCAAAATTTGCAAAAAAAAACTTACTGTATAATTGGGATTTTTTTCGAAACTTTTTGACATACTGAAACTGTGCTGTTCCATCATCTTGAATCGACTTAAAATGAAATAACACTGATTTGTTTTATGCATATGACCTATGCAGAGGACGTGGTTTACGTGTACGCTGAAATCTGTGGTGGAAGTTCGGTACGGGAAAAAATCTAGTACCCGGTTGCAATATCCTTGATTATCGCAAGCGTAAAAAACTGACAAATTTAAACGTTGATTTAAAACTTTGCTGGTAAGTTCCATTTGAGCTATAACAATGCCGATTTAGTTTTTCAAAGGAGCTACCTGAGTCAAAAGAGCTACCTGTCAAAGAAATCAAAATTTTCTTTTTTTTTTGTAATATTTTATGTTTGAACCTGTAAAGTCAATGCAGATAACTAATTGAAAGCGCCAGGATCTTGAAAACGTAATCAAAAATCACACTTGGCTGTCGTTGCGAAACGTGTTTTGTTTAGAAATCAAACTTGTTTGTCGCGAAGCTTTTTTAAAATCCCCATTCATCAATACTGCATCAGTCGTCAATTTTTTTTGTGTATGAGCTTCTGTTTTACTGCTGTTAAATAATTGATCTGGCTCACTTTCACTTTTTCATTATCCTTTATTCATTAACTTCGGACCCTAGTAATTACCTTACTTAATTTTCATTGCTAACATCTGAAAAGAAATTATCTGGTCGCATTGAACAGTTTAAATGCTTACGCGAAAACAATGTTTACGCGAGAGAAGCGTCATAAAACGTGAGCTATCCAAAAGCGCAGTAAGTTTCAATATAAATTTAATGCTAACAAGGATGGTCCAAAATTGGTGTTCCTTTTGTAATTTTGGATTTTTTTGAGCCTAAAACCTAAATAAAATATCTTTTATTTAAAGATCGGTACTCGATCGCCTTACGGCTGTTATTTGAAAGATACAATTGTGGTGCCCTGTCCCAGATCTGGTTTTAATGCTTAAGCCAGCCAAAATGTACTGAATGATTTAGAAAGCAAAAACGTTAAAACAGCTGCAATAATGGTAGGAACGAATGATCTAGAAGAAAGGGATGGCTGTGATGGGAATTTAATTGAAACAGAAAAAAACGAAGAAACTGGTAACATTATAGAGGAATGAAAACTTCAGAGAAGTATTAATGAAAATATTTGGGTAGTCTGGAAAACACAAGAAGTGAAAGCGCTGATCAAAATGTACAAAAAACTTGAGATATCTTGGAATTGCTTACCATGGAACTAAAATTGGAATGAGTTTTTTGCCCTCAGATGGTTTGCACCCGAAACCTGAAAAGATACATTAAGCACTCATTTGAGGGCCGGCTTGCTGAGGAGCAGAAGAGATCTGTTTTTTTTTAACTGACTCAAACCGTTCTTGGCGATTAAGATACGATGAAGTGAAATGTAAGAAAACATAAAAAAGAACATTAGGAAACTACGCACCCCATAAAATACGAGAAACAGCTGACGAAACTACTCAATAAAGCTACTTGAAGATATACCAACAAACACATCTGACAACAAGAAGAGGAGTCTAATTAAAAAATTCGAAACTCTTGATATTGAACTTGAAACGAAAAGTTTTTAGTTTGGGTCAACTTTTTGAGAATTTTTTAATGGCTTTCGAATCACAACTGATTCGAACAATTTGGTTTAACACTCGACCCATTCCGATGATTGTTTGTGGTACCTGATTTTGCGTGGAAAAAAGAAAAAACTAAAACACACCCGAATACAAAGTTCCTCCCCATTCTCAACGGTCAGATTAAAAGTTTGTTTCGATGCAGTCAACGTTAGAAGATAAGCAAGCGTATGGATTTAAATGTATTTTTTTTGGAAAAACTTCACCCGGTTGAACTTACATAGCTGATTCAGTATGATTTCATGGTTCAAATTTTTCAGAGGTAAATCAGAGATGAAAATGATACACAACGAAAAGAGAGCTGGATCAAAAGAAACATAGACGCTCGTTTCAGAAAAACAAAATACGAAACATTTTTTCCCAAAATTTTTCTATCCAGAAAGACTTTTAAATTTTGTGCGACAGTCGCCACACTATTTCGTAGACATCACAGTCAAGTCAAAATTTGCAAAAAAAAAACATTCTGTATAATTGGGATTTTTTAAGAAACTTTTTGACATACTGAAACCACGCTGTTCCATCATCTTGAATCGACTTAAAATGAAATAACACTGATTTGTTTTATGCATATGACCTATGCAGAGGACGTGGTTTACGTGTACGCTCGAATCTGTGGTGGAAGTTCGGTACGGGAAAAAATCTAGTACCCGGTTGCAATATCCTTGATTATCGCAAGCGTAAAAAATTGACAAATTTAAACGTTGATTTAAAACTTTGCTGGTAAGTTCCGTTTGAGCTATAACAATGCCGATTTAGTTTTTCAAAGGAGCTACCTGAGTCAAAAGAGCTACCTGTCAAAGAAATCAAAATTTTCTTTTTTTTGTAATATTTTTTGTTTGAACCTGTAAAGTCAATGCAGATAATTAATTGAAAGCGCCAGTATCTTGAAAAACTTAATCAAAAATCACCCTTGGCTGTCGTTGCGAAACGTGTTTCGTCTAGAAATCAAACTTGTTTGTCGCGAAGCTTTTTTAAAATCCCCATTCATCAATACTGCATCAGTCGTCAATTTTTTTTTGTGTATGAGCTTCTGTGTTACTGCTGTTAAATAACTGATCTGGCTCACTTTCGCTTTTTCAATATCCTTTATTCAATAACTGTTGACCCTAGTAATTACCTTACTTAATTTTCATTGCTAACATCTGAAAAGAAATTATCTGGTCGCATTGAACAGTTTAAATGCTTACGCGAAAACAATGTTTACGCGAGAGAAGCGTCATAAAACGTGAGCTATCCAAAAGCGCAGTAAGTTTCAATATAAATTTAATGCTAACAAGGATAGTCCAAAATTGGTGTTCCTTTTGTAATTTTAGATTTTTTTGAGCCTAAAGCCTAAATAAAATATCTTTTATTTAAAGATCGGTACTCGATCGCCTTACGGCTGTTATTTGAAAGATACAATTGTAGTGCCCTGTCACAGATCTGGTTTTAATGCTTAAGCCAGCCAAAATGTACTGAATGATTTAGAAAGCAAAAACGTTAAAACAGATGCAATAATGGTAGGAACGAATGATCTACAAGAAAGGGATGGCTGTGATGGGAATTTAATGGAAATAGAAAAAAAAATGAAGAAACTGGTAACATTATAGAGGAATGAAAACTTCAGAGAAGTATTAATGAAAATATTTGGGTAGTCTGGAAAACACAAGAAGTGAAAGCGCTGATCAAAATGTACAAAAAACTTGAGATATCTTGGAATTGCTTACCATGGAACTAAAATTGGAATGAGTTTTTTGCCCTCAGATGGTTTGCACCCGAAACCTGAAAAGATACATTAAGCACTCATTTGAGGGCCGGCTTGCTGAGGAGCAGAAGAGATCTGTTTTTTTTTAACTGACTCAAACCGTTCTTGGCGATTAAGATACGATGAAGTGAAATGTAAGAAAACATAAAAAAGAACATTAGGAAACTACGCACCCCATAAAATACGAGAAACAGCTGACGAAACTACTCAATAAAGCTACTTGAAGATATACCAACAAACACATCTGACAACAAGAAGAGGAGTCTTATTAAAAAATTCGAAACTCTTGATATTGAACTTGAAACGAAAAGTTTTTAGTTTGGGTCAACTTTTTGAGAATTTTTTAATGGCTTTCGAATCACAACTGATTCGAACAATTTGGTTTAACACTCGACCCATTCCGATGACTGTTTGTGGTACCTGATTTTGCGTGGAAAAAAGAAAAAACTAAAACACACCCAAATACAAAGTTCCTCCCCATTCTCAACGGTCAGATTAAAAGTTTGTTTCGACGCAGTCAACGTTAGAAGATAAGCAAGCGTATGGATTTAAATGTATTTTTTTTGGAAAAACCTCGCCCGGTTGAACTTACATAGCTGATTCAGTATGATTTCATGGTTCAAATTTTTCAGAGGTAAATCAGAGATGGATCATCAATGATCCAGCTCACAAAAGTGCCATTATGATCAGCTATGAAACAGCGATGTTGAATGGATATTTAGGATTACTAATTGTTGCAATTTCGCCAATTTTTGTGTTGATTCAATGTTTTTAATCTTCAATGACAGTGCCTATACATAGCAACCTTGATTTCTGCTGTTATTTTTTTTCTAGTATTGCGAAATAGTGAATCAAATTGATTTTCTATGAATTCAAAATCAAGTAAACACATTATTTATTAGCTGGTATGTTTTCACGCACATCCAAACTTCTGTAAAAAAATGATAAAAGTGTTCCAATTTATATATTTTTTCAAAGATGGAATCCTTGCTAAGGATTCAGTTTCTCTCCTTTTTGAAAGCGCTTTCAAATGATTCAAGACTTGTCCTCATCGAAGTTTTTTGGCCTACTGGTTTGATCTAGCCCGAATAGTTTGTAAATAGCAGAAATGTTTTCGATCACTGAATAATCAGAAAATCAATTTCTTGAAAAGTGGGTCCTTTTTTTCTCCCGCATGAGATGCTTCTTGTAATTTGTTTTTGTTCGCGTTTGTGGATCGAAAAAAGTCGAAATTTTGACATTACAAAAGATTTTTCTTTCAATTTGGATTTTAGGTTGCGGGACCAGTCTGAACGCAATGTGAGCAGTCACGTTCGCATGTTGCACAAGTGGTGGAATGAAAACAAGACGATACTGCATCGAAACCTTAGCGTAAGTTAAACCGAGCATAAATGTTTTAACCTTCAATCCATAATACCCCTGTGCTAAATTGTACAAGAGACAGCGAACTCTGAAATCAAATCTTTCCAGTATCAACTACAGGTGTTTTTTATTGATTTTATTCATTTTTTCGTTAAAAGGAAAATAAAAAATTTAAACATTTCTGGTGTTAATTTTTTCTGCGGGTTGAGTGCATCAAAGTTCATGAAAATCCGAATTCTGATATCTTTGTTTGCTCAAAAGTTCATCCTTTATTCCTTTTTGACTATAGACGATTTGACATTGCGTTGGGAAACTGAAAACGTAACTGATTATTTGGTGCTCCTTTTGCTCGTTTTTCTTTATTCGAATTGGATCCTTTTCTGATTCATGATGTAATGAACGACAAGTTTTGACCATTAACCATTTGGTTTGTTGTCTTAGAAAACAGTATTGAATCATTGTTTTATTCCGAAAAGTTTTAGATTTTATGGAACTCATCATCTTCTATTCATCTGAAAAAATGATGAATTTAAATTTACGTATTTAAAAAGTAAATAAGTTATTATTGCTGTCATGATTGTTGTTTTTTGGGCTTTAGCAGCTGGAGGCACTGGTGAGTCATAGAGACATGACACTTAGGGTGTCCAAAGAAGTGCTGCAGAGGTCGCATGACATGGACGAGGGGCTTCTACTAGGGTCCATACAGCCTCTGTCGGTGAGAAACTAATATCTCGGACTAGCATTTTGAGCTATATTGTTTTTTATGACAAAATTGAATCAATAGAAGAGAAATTTTAAAGTTTTTTTCTCTTAATTTTTTTCTAGGGTGCTACGGCAATAGTTCAATATGGCTGTGCATCTAGTCGAAAGATATGACGGTTCTTATCGTTGTCTCTTTGAATTATATCACTTTTTCTGACAATCTAGATCAAAATAATTTTGAATTCAGAAATAATTAAATCTGTGTTTTGTTAAATATTGCCAGATTTGCGTAGGCTATCATCAGTGGGAGTTTGAAACTCCCTTTCTCTATCCTCTCCAGAATCTAAACGTCATTGATAAATATTATATGTTTAACTATTTGCTGATTTTGGTACCACAATTAATCATCGGACTGGGCTGAGTGATATATCATATTGAAGCCCTTTCAGTCGTGATTCGAACGACATTTAAAAAAATTCAAGAAATTTTCTCTGCCGAAAAAAACCGGTTTAAAATTTTTGATTTTTGGTCTAATTTTGAGCTAATAAGGCGACAATGTATGCTTACAATAGCTTATTTAAGCTTAATTTTAGCCGCGAAGACTTAAACAAAAATAAAGGTAGTTTTTGGTGCAATTTTGGGAATCAAAGAATTGAAAACTCAAAAAAAATTTCTGAAAAAAACTTTGAAGTTTTTGAAATTTTTTAAAATGTTTTTTTTTTTTGTTTTCCTTGTCATTTTTTGTCAAAAACTGTTTTCCAATTGACCTATTTTACTATGGCTCTCAAATATGCTTAGATTCTATTTTGTTTTGTTCAGATCTTTTTATCAAAACATGCAGAAAAAAATGACACCATTTTGAAAAAACTTTTCTGATTATTTTTAAGACTGTGGTCGGAACATTCTGTGCTACTTGCACAGTAACCGGCTATCTATTTTTCTTTGTGTTTTCCACGCAAAATCAGGTACCACAAATAAATATCAGAAAGGGTTGAGTGATATAAATTAAAGTTCTGGCAATCGTGATTCGAACGACATAAAAAAAATTTTAAGAAGTTTTTTCAGTGTCGAGAAAAACCGGTTTGAAGTTTTTGATTTTTGGTCTAATTTCGAAGTAATATGGTGTGAGCGTGTAGTCTTACAATAGTTTGTTTAAGCTTACTATAAGCCATGAAAACCTAGTTGTACTCAAATAAAAGTAGTAAAAAATTCCAAAAATTTCTGCAGAAATGTTTGAAAAAATTTGTTTAAATTTTTTTTCCAGTTTTATTTTTGTTTTTCAAGTCAATTTTCTTCAAAAACTGTTTTCCGAATTTTTTTTACTATGACTGTCAAATATGCCGAAGTTCATTTTTCGGAAAAAACCATGCGGAAAAACAACGGCACTAATTTAAAAAAAATGTTTTTGTATTTTTCTAAGACTGTGGTCGGAACATTCTGTGCTACTTGCACAGTAACCGGTTATCCTTGTTGTCATATGTACTTGTTTGGAGAAATAAAAGTCAATCAATAGTTGATATTAAATCCAAGTATTTTTGTCTAAAATTGGTGCATCAAACAAAGCTAATTTCAGCCTGAAGGCGACTCCGATTCTAAGAAAGACGAAAATGCAGGTGTGAGCAGAGAGTCAGACCAGATCAAGGACTCATCCAGTCTTCTAGAGTTACCCCCCGACATAGGGGACGATGAGGGGGAGATTCAACTGTCTCCGGGTAGTCCGGCAGACAGTGCCGAGTTGTCCCACTCGTACAGAGACGACAGGGAAATCATAATTCCAGGTCGGTCGGGTCATTTACAATTTGCGGCTACCGCCTTGAAAAGTTTTAGAGGGCTGGATAAAGTGTCTGGATAAAGTGTTTTAAAGTGTCAGAGCTTTATGCGAAAAATATCCAAATTGGACCTTAAAAAGACGTACGAATCAAACAGCGAGCTAGTCTTAGCGCTGAATATGATTCCTGCGCTTAGTTTTGTGCCGGAGTCAAAAGTGGAAATCGGGTTCGACCTAGTCATTGAGGAAATATGCAGTGTGGCAACCAAACTGGATATTTCACAAAACGATCTCGAAAAATTAGACGAGCTCACTGCTTATTTCCAAAAAACGTACATTAGAGGGGATTTGATTGGCCGAAAAACACTTTTTCCTATTTCTCTTTGGAACCATTATCAAAATACTGTGTGTGGTCTAGCCCGAACCACAAATGCAGTTGAAGGGTGGCATCTAGGTGTAACCGCTTTGTTTCAAGGCAGCCATCCTTCAATACATACGTTTCTCGAAAAAATTCAACTAGATTCCTACAATCAAAAGTTCAACATTTTGAAGGCATCCAGCGGCACTATCAACTTATCCCGGAAAAAGTACCGTGATCTGAATGAAAAAGTTCAACAGATAACAATTTCATACACAGAGTCTAACTTATTGTCTTATATCCGTTCACTTGCCCATTTAACCTATTAAACTTTGTTTTAGTTTTTGCCTAATTTTTCCTTAATTTAAATTTGTTTGATCAACTTTTTTATAGACGTCTCCTTGCACCCTCCCGGAGAACGCCGAAACGCAATGCTACGACTCGCATTCGAAAATGCTGTCTCTAGCAATTTGATCCCAGAGCAGTTGCTCTTATTTGCGGGACGCTAGGTTGGGGGTAGGGGCCTGACGGCCCTTTGAGTATTGCGCCTAGCGAAAAAAAGTTGATCAAAATTGAGAATTGATATTTTGTATCAAATAGAATGGCAAGTGATTCGTAATGAAAATGATTTCAAAGCTTTAGAATTTTGCAAAAACTCAATTTCAATTTTGTACCGACTTGAGTTGTCTGGAAAATCAGGCCATTTTTGGCAAAGTTGGTTTTGATTAATTGGAAATCCTTTTCAAGTTCAACTATAGTCTAAGCTGTTTTGAAGTTTGAGTTTTATTTTAAAGGCCAAGTGATTAGCAAGGTCATTTATGTTCGAAATTTGTGCAGCAGAAATTTTGCCGTTTCTTTGATTTTAACCGACGCTTTGTTTTGGCTTTGATCGATTAACCGCTTTATTTTCAATTCTCAGTTTTTTTGTTATTTTATTATGGTATCTTATGTCGTGGGCGATTTTAGAACGAGGTATCTTTTGAAATGGTATCTTATTGACTGGGATCTTCTCGTTTGGGATCTTAAGGTAAGGGATCTTTTGTCATGTAATCATTTTTTATTTTGCCAAAAAAAATTTTTGAATTGAGATATTGAGATAAATGTAGTTAAGTTAGCACCCTATCAAGTCAGTTCAATGTCTTTTAACAGATGGACTGCCGCACATAAAACTGCCTATGTGCGTTCATAATTGAATATACAGAAAATGTTGCTGTGAAAAAAAAAGCGCTACCTTGACTTAAGGTTAAATCACCAATTATTACACAACCGAACTTTGTTCTTTTCAAAAGTATCATTGACATTTTTAAGCTAGCAATATAGTTCAGTGGTCAAGATTAATATTAAACCTGTTTGTTCATAATCAATTTGATGTCAAATTACCAAGTTTCAGCAAAACTATTGTAAGTGATCTGTTTTTTTTTTCAGGCGCTTCGAAACCTTTCTTGCTCACTATGCCATCAGCAACGCCTCTTGAGCAATCTCCACTCAAAAACCTGAAAAGTAAGCATATTTGAATTATTTTTAGCAGCCATGATCATATTGTAAATGTTTTCAGCTTGAGTCATTAGGTGCCTTGTTTAGATGCTGATTCTTCTCAAAGTAATTTAGACGTCAACAGGAACCATGTGAACAAAAAGAGCCGCAAGACGACTCATATTCAAATGAATCCCGCCGAAATCTGGGAGGAGTTTCTCAGGCGCCAGAAGTATGTTATTTTCCCACAATCTCATAGTGTCAAAATGTTATTGGGTTATTAAAGAAGTTAAAAAATCAATTATTTAAGTTGATGTTTTAAGTTGAACAGTTTTTTTGCTTTCCTTGTTGCACCACTCACTTACACTTACAAGAATCGAATTTACCTTCTTAGTGAAATTCGTCGTATGATTATATAAACCTCTTGTTGGCTAATTTTGCTTTTGAAGAAACGTTTAAATGTGACTTTATCGCGTTTTTTCTGCATTTTGTTTTTTTAATCGTTTTGCATTTTATCTAATTAAAAAAGAAAAATTATAGTTCAATCTGCCATGCTGCTATCCCAGAATTAGAGTGTTAATAATTCAGATTTAATAGCTCCATAAAAATTGTTTAAAAAAATAGGTGTGGTTGTTACAAAAATGTCATTTTTTCCCTTATTTACACTAGCGAACTTTAGTGAGCGTTCGTGTAATAGTACGTCTATTCTTTTTTCTAAGCCAAGTCGAAAATATTGGTGCCACTTTTGGTGGCACCATTGCGGATTTTTGATAGCATGTGCTTTGAAATTCGAATAGTATCAAGTTGATGCCTTTTTATTTCATCAAACGAACCAAAAAAGCTATGTGTTTCAAACAACATAACAATAATAAAAACTTGATTTCAGAATTTTATAACTCATTATATTTCGCAATTTTTTGAAATGCATACTTTATACATAATGTGGCTTTACGCTTTCCATGTTATTACTTGCTAAGTTAGTGAGGATGCCTTCAGCTTGTTATATTCTAAATAATTACTTGCAAAGTTCTGTCTATTTGTGTTTGGTGCCAGTTTTGCTGCATGGCATTGGCAATTTATTAGCATATGTAGCTGTTTTGTTTGTGACCAAAGTTTGCCGATTGTTAAGCGTTTGTGGCCGAGAGGGCAGGGCGTGAGATTCCAAATCTCGAGGTCGCATGTTCGAAGCCAATAAGTAGCAAAGTTTCAGTAACTCGAGGCTAATTCTATTTTTTCTTATTTCATTTTACAAAGCTGCTTTTTTGTTGTGTTCTCGCTAGTGTTTGTGAAGCGCAGCTGCGCCTCTGTGTATCAATATCAAACTTAATTTAAAAATCGGGAAGTTCTATTGCTCTCAGTATATAAAATAGAATCAAAATCCCCTTCTTCTAAATCGGTTAACATCTTATAGCTGCTTCCTTTCTGCGAGAGTTCTACGAACGATAGAATTTCAACGGCATATTTCATCTTTTCTTTTTTCGCAATTTTTTTGCGGTTTCTCATTTTTTGTTTAATTTTGTTTAATTTCTTTAAGTCGCCGTTTTTGCTTTTGTCTGCATACCGACTGCGGGGCCTTACCGAAACCGAGTACACGAGATGATGGTTCACGGTATGGATATTTTCAACCTGAGTTCTAATATGCCATGGACTTTCTTACTGATCTGAATCTTATAGCAAGCAGCAAGGCTGGCCATTTTGGGCGAGAACAATGCCTGAGTTTTGGAAACAGACCAGCGAAGCTGTGGAGTAAACGAGCATTTAATCATTGGAATGCCTCACAAGTACAAGAAGGTATTTCACTGAGAGAAGAAAATATTAGGATCCAAGAGTTCTTCTCTTTATTCGCAGAAGCATGCAAGTTGACAGCATCAAGTTGCAAAATCACAGCAACTCAATATGTCCCTAGGAATTGCAATGGGGAATTTTTTTAAAGTTTTATCTAATTAAAAAAGAAAATTATAGTTCAATCTGCCATGCTGCTATCCCAGAATTAGAGTGTTAATAATTCAGATTTAATAGCTCCATAAAAATTGTTTAAAAAAATAGGTGTGGTTGTTACAAAAATGTCATTTTTCCCTTATTTACACTAGCGAACTTTAGTGAGCGTTCGTGTAATAGTACGTCTATTCTTTTTTCTAAGCCAAGTCGAAAATATTGCTGCCACTTTTGGTGGCACCATTGCGGATTTTTGATAGCATGTGCTTTGAAATTCGAATAGTATCAAGTTAACACAGTTGATGCCTTTTTATTTCATCAAACGAAACAAAAAAGCTATGTTTCAAACAACATAACAATAATAAAAACTTGATTTCAGAAATTTTCTAACTCATTATATTTCGCAATTTTTTGAAATGCATACTTTATACATAATGTGGCTTTACGCTTTCCATGTTATTACTTGCTAAGTTAGTGAGGATGCCTTTAGCTTGTTATATTCTAAATAATTACTTGCAAAGTTCTGTCTATTTGTGTTTGGTGCCACTTTTGCTGCATGGCATTGGCAATTTATTAGCATATGTAGCTGTTTTGTTTGTGACCAAAGTTTGCCTATTGTTAAGCGTTTGTGGCCGAGAGGGCAGGGCGTGAGATTCCAAATCTCGAGGTCGCATGTTCGAAGCCAATAAGTAGCAAAGTTTCAGTAACTCGAGGCTAATTCTATTTTTTCTTATTTCATTTTACAAAGCTGCTTTTTTGTTGTGTTCTAGCTAGTGTTTGTGAAGCGCAGCTGCGCCTCTGTGTATCAATATCAAACTTAATTTAAAAATCTGGAAGTTCTATTGCTCTCAGTATATAAAATAGAATCAAAATCCCCTTCTTCTAAATCGGTTGAAATCTTATAGCTGCTTCCTTTCTGCGAGAGTTCTACGAACGGCATATTTCATCTTTTCTTTTTTCGCAATTTTTTTGCGGTTTCTCATTTTTTGTTTAATTTTGTTTAATTTCTTTAAGTCGCCGTTTTTGCTTTTGTCTGCATACCGACTGCGGGGCCTTACCGAAACTGAGTACACGAGATGATGGTTCACGGTATGGATATTTTCAACCTGAGTTCTAATATGCCATGGACTTTCTTACTGATCTGAATCTTATAGCAAGCAGCAAGGCTGGCCATTTTGGGCGAGAACAATGCCTGAGTTTTGGAAACAGACCAGCGAAGCTGTGGAGTAAACGAGCATTTAATCATTGGAATGCCTCACAAGTACAAGAAGGTACTTCACTGAGAGAAGAAAATATTAGGATCCAAGAGTTCTTCTCTTTATTCGCAGAAGCATGCAAGTTGACAGCATCAAGTTGCAAAATCACAGCAATTCAATATGTCCCTAGGAATTGCAATGGGGAAATTTTTTTAAAAGCATCTATGGAAATGTCTCAGCAACCATAACAGGTCAACTGCTGTGATGTTCACCATAAACAAAATGTACGCAACAGTTCTTTCGGATCTGTAGACTTAGGGCAGAATGAATTATCCAATGAAAAAGAACCTGATACCTTAGACAACTCAACTGTGCAACCTGTACAATTAGAGCCCCACTCTTGCGAACCGTGCAGCAGCAACACTATTTTGTCATTGTTCATCCAGGTTATACGTCCTGCCGAGAATGAAGAGCAAAAAGAAACAGCTTGGTAGTGTTTCAGTGATCTTATCATCTCTATTAGGTGATGATTATTGTGCAGTCAGCAGTCAAAATTGCCAACTTTTGAACCTAATAAAAATTCTCATATTCTGCGTATAATTATTTTTGAACCGACAAAATCAAAAACAAAGGATACTAACAACACAGTTGACAAGCAAGTGTTATTGAAACAAACAAAGTCATCCAAAAAAAAAATTGACAAAACAGAAATTTCAGAACGGATTTTTCGACGACACAAGCAGCGGCACTGTCGCTTTTCGGACCACTTTCAAAAAACAGAATGGATCAAGTTATGATGAAAATTCATTTGAGCTAAATGAAATAAGAAAACAAAACTTTGACGACAAAAGCACTTGCAGAAAAGTTTGTTCTGTGATACTACGAAAAAAATGCGTGACTAACTAAAATTGAAATAAGTACCTTCTTAAATAATTGAAATACGGATGTTCTTAGAAAAAATATTGGCATCGTCACGAAGCCAAAGTTCAAGAGTTAAAAACTAAAACCGGTATTCCGAGGAAGAAAACATTTGCACAAGAATCTACTCGACTACTCAAAATAAAAATTAAACCGCACAAGAAAACTGACTAAAGGGTCCTCTAAAACAGACAAAAAATTTCTACATTTAAAATAGACGATGTCGACAACTCCAAGCTGACGGAAAAACAGGTGTTTCGACGACGAAATTGAGCTCTCAGGTGCCTAAATAATCAATTAGAAGGGAAAATGACCCAGTAAGAAAAGGGAGTTCTTCTGAAACAATCAGATTTATTTAGAAATTTAGAGAAAAAAATAAGATTTGAACCCAAATGAGAAAAATAAGTTTAACTCTAACATTCGCGACCAAGAATTTTCATTCATCGTTATTAAATTTTTTCTTGCGCATTGCACTCCACAAAATCTTTGAATAATCAAGCGTCGCGTCTCAAGTTCAGGAAAAAGTAATCATTATTTATTGAACAGATTTTCATTACCATTTTAATAAGTTGTTGAACAATTTTGGGGAGCGGTGGTGAAGTGGTTACGTCTCCGCCTCTCAATCGAAAGGTCGGATGTTCGAGGCCCACCATGATCCGTGCTCGTTGCTTGAGGGTGAAGCAACAATACCCAGCCCAGAAAAATAACCAAAAAAATTGCATGTAGTTCTTAAACAGGGGCACAACAGCGGTTCGCCGTGATGAGCTGTACAGCTCTTGTGTTGGTCCTTTCCCCCGTGGATAAATGATCTTAAATTTAATTTGAGAAAAAAAAGTCATTGTTCATTCAAAGATAGGTTTTGTTCATCGATTCCCTTCATCCAACAGACCAGTTTGAAATTGTTATATAAGTTCGTAATAACCAGTTTATGATTGTTATTTCACCCATTTGATTTTCCCGTTTCAAGGAGCATTGCTAAGAAGATGCTGACTTTTATGATCAGCTCTGCATAATTTGATCGTTCCATCTGAGAAATTAAATTGTTTTTAAATTTTTTTCTTATATAAAATTAACTATTCATGTTTCTTGAGTTATTGACGATTACTTTTGTTTTGTTTCTCTTCAATTAATTCTAGTTGATAAGAGCAAAAAAAATTTAAAAAATGAATATTCAAGTTTTGATTCAAATGCTAGTTGGACTTCGTTTCAAAAGTATTTCAACTTGTAGGGAGGTCGTTCAAATAAGAAGCCCATTCAACTTTGTTTCAAAAGTTTATTTGACCATTATTTATTGATCTCTGTACTACTCCAATTGCAGAATTCATTAGCAACTTCTGTAATCTTTTCTACTTCGATTCAATTACCTTAGCAACCCAGTCCTGATCTATTTTCAGTACCAAAATAGCCTGATACTTTTCAGGAAACAGATGCAACTGAAGAACATTGCCATACTTCTTTTTAAAAAAGTTACCGTACCAGGATGTCCTTTGATTATGTTTCTTGTTTCAAAAGATTCGAAAATGTTCAATTGCCGAAATGAAAACATATTATATTTACAAGAGTAGCTGGTTGCTGTTCAAATAGCGCAGAAACTCCCAATTACTTTTATAAAAACTTTGAAAAAAAAAAGAAAATACTGTTTTTAGTATTCTGTCGTTCTTTGTGTTGGTAATGATGGGAGGAAAGACGAAAGTTTAGAAGGTTACTAAACAATTAATCTCAATATACTCGATTTTAATTGTTCAATAAAGCTAATTACAGAACAAACAATCAACAAAAACAAAAAGTATACATTAAATGTTTTGCGGGCTTTTTTGAAAATGTTAATATCCAAGGAAACGTTAAATAAAGCTTGTTTTTTTGGAGTAAAAGATAGGTTTTCACGGCCTAAATAAAAGCTTTTACTATTATAACATCTTACTCGGTCAAATTCTGAATAAAAAACAAAAGTTTGATACGGGTTTTCCTCAAAACTTAGACCATTTTTTGAAGTTTTTAAATGTTCAAATCCTAATGAAGGTGTTTTAATATGATAATAGTCATCGGTGCATTCTGATGACTATTCGTGGTACCTGACTTTCCGCGCAAAAATACAAACATCATAAAGTTATAAGACACCCGGAGCAAAGTTCCTCCCGATTTTCAATGGTCGGAACAATAACGAGAGAATGAGTAGAGAGCCTTACAATAAGTGTTAAGGATTATAACGAGTTCACTAATTCAGGCCGTATCTTTGTTTTCCAGAAAATGTTGATCATGGCTAGATTTTTTTTGTTTTCGGTTCCTTTAATCTCAATATTGAAAAAGCAAATTGTGCTATCCAATGAAAAATTTGACGATACAGGCGCAAAATAGGTGATGCATTTTTTATTTCAAAAATACATTTTTTACACTTGCTAGAGCAAGCGCCTTGTAATCGGCTTTTAGACTTTTTTCCCGGCAACATCTTTGCTTACCTACTTGATTTTCTTGCTTGCTGTATTATTGAACCGTAAAATCTTGCAAGCCCGTTCCTACTTGGCCTAGAGGTAACGTGGTTGCCTTTGCTCTCTAAGGCCATTTGTCCCGGCAGCACATTTTTTTTTCATTAGATATGAAATTGAATTTTTTAACGGTACAATTTGAATTGTCGGACTTTCGTTTGTATACTCAAATTTTGTCGGCCTAGTTGCAACATCGCGGATTTTTCTTGTCCTGTAAGCTATTATCATGATAGTTGCAAGTGTTGTTCATTGTTATTTCAGGGCGGATTTAAAACTGTTTAAAGCTTTTACACAATCAATTTTTTATCGGCTCAGCCGATGTCTGCTCAAATATTGTCGGTTTTGCTCCGCTGTGTAAGTTTTGTTGCTTTGTTAATTATATATTCAAATGTTTTGCTCGGCGTCTTTGCCCAAAATGAATTTTTATTGAGACATGAAAGTTTTGGTAGACTTACTTTTCTCATTTTTTAAAAAAATTTTCATCTTATGTTTTTTATGTTTGTCTTGTATCGCAATTGATGCGAAGCTTTGCTTCTCCTCTGTGTAGTACTAATAATTCCAGTGGAATAAAAAATTTCTGATTAATCCAGTTTTTTTCGAGTAAGGTAGTTTTATTCTGAAGACTCTTGTAATAATTGTGGTTTCTGCGGCTCGCAGAGGATCTATGAAAGGCTATCCAGCCTGTCTAAGAATAGTCCGTTTTTCTTCTTTCCGCTTATTTCAGGCCAAATTGTTTTGTTGAGCGAATCATAAAGCTAATTACAGAACAAACAATCAACAAAAACAAAAAGTATACATTAAATGTTTTGCGGGCTTTTTTGAAAATGTTAATATCCAAGGAAACGTTAAATAAAGCTGTTTTTTTTTTGGAGTAAAAGATAGGTTTTCACGGCCTAAATAAAAGCTTTTACTATTATAACATAGTAAAAGTGATGATTTTCAGAACGGAAGAGGACTTCGCGACTCTATCTGAATTCTATGGGAGACATGGTACTGCATACACTAAGAGGTATGCCTCTCACGCACGCTCCTGGGGACCCGAGGAAAGCACCCGAATAGTGATTGACAGCTACAGAGCCACACCTAAAGCCCAGGTGCTGCACCCAAAAATAAAAGACAGAATCATTTATCACAACTTGGAAGATTTCCAGCAGTTTGAGAACAGTCTGGCTGATAATAGACGTCGAAATGCGAAGTCAGCACTTGTGAGAGGGAGCTTAAAATCACCTCAACAGACAAAGCTGGAGATGAAGTCCCGTGAAGTCAGATCGGGAAGATTGTTCAACAAAAACTCAAAAAGCGAAGGCGACAAGAGATCCTCTAGGTTGGTTCATGGGAGTTCCAATTTTGGAGGAAATTTTGAACTCGTCGACGTTTTATGTTTTTAGTTTTCTTGCATGAATAATATGAGGCTGTTCTCGGAGGAAAGTTTTATTCTGAGAGACAACTATAAATTATTCACATTGTTTGAAAACCAGTTCAATGTTTTACTCTTAATATAATTTTATTTTACTAATGATGGTTCTCTAAAGAGTTCATGGTTCCCTCATGTCAACAGAATCTGTAAATTTCCAGAACCTTTGCTTCAAGTTATCAGCGTGAACAGGCTGCTGCTGCCATGAAGTCATCAGATGCAGTTGTTGAAGATAGTTTCAGAATGTCAGACGTGGTGGACAGTGCTGTGAACGAATTAGTCATCAACAAGGAACAAGTGGTATTACTCTTGGGTTGTAGCTCAATCATTTAACTAGAAACTTCAAAACTCGCTCAAAAGAGTTGGTATCTCAAAATGATGGAAAGTTTTCTTGTATTAACTCCTTCTTTTTTCTTGATAGCCAAAGCCTTACTTCCTTTCCTCTACATTTTTCTTTGGGCTTTATTTTACACAGGTCAGACATGTTATCCGTTTTGCCGTAGCTCCCAACTTGAGGAGGCGGATGACACTGTGACCCCTCGAAGAGCAGTCGTGGCCAAGTCGATAAGACGCGCGGTCTTGAACACAAAAGTAGAAGGTTCAAATCCCGCTTAGGTCATGGCTGGATGGGTCCCAGTGTCATCCGCCTCCTCAACGAAAAACCGGCTGCGGCAAAATGGGTGACATCTCTCTCCAAAGTTGAGAGGTGGGAGCTGTGGGCCGGGGGTTATTTTAAAAAATCCTCCAACCGCACCCGCGACACTCGTGCTTAAAGGGCGTGCGTCCTCTCCAATCGGTCATTTAACTGTTCTACTTAGCGGAAAAACATTTCGGCATTTTCGATGTTCCACTACGCCTGTCATAGATCTAAAATGTGTCATTTTTCAGACAGACTTAAATCTTAGTCGCAAATTGGTTCTTCGATGCTTGATTCGCTTAGGGACCTGAGCCGAGCCGGGGATTCCGACAGCCTTTTAAAGCCATCAACCCCTTCAAAACAATCGCCAGTCAAACCATCACTTTCACCAAAAGCAGGTAAAGAGATAAAGCCCATGAAAGGTACAAATGAAAATGGCGTTTTAATATCTTGACAAATGTGTTTTACTTACAGAACGTGAACAGGTTGGTCCATATTTTGATATCAAATTTTCGCATTCGCTTTCTTGCATGCTATTTTTTCACACATCGGTACAAAAGTAACTTGTCTCTGGGAATGTACAAACATTTGTTTAGCTTCAAGGCTTTAGTTTTTCAATTTGTAGATGAAGTTTATTCAGTTCAATTTGGCGCGCTCTATTTCTTTGAAAATAAGGCTTGACTGTTTTTACTGGCATTACTTTGTTTTAGACCTGAGACGGAGGTTGAGTTTGAGCCGCCCATTTTGCTGATTCCAGGAATTTCCAGCCAGTCAAAACGGAAGGATGCCGAGGAGTTTAAACAGACCAAAGACCCAATGACTCCAAGAACTATGTGAGAACAACGGCATCATAACTAGGGGGGGGGGGGTTGGTGTGGTGATATCTGAGACAGTTCAACTTTTAGAAAACCCTTTGGCACTCAATTATAATACTTGTGCTTTGCCTATGTTCGATGTTGATTCTGTCAACGATTTGGATATAGTCTTCTGACATTGTCTTCGTATTTTTGCTTTCTTGTGATAAAATTTGGAGCAAAATGATCCTGGCCGGTTTGGACAATACATGTATACGCGTAGTCTTAATTATTTGCTTTTGATAAGCCATCAATTTTTCTCATTTTCCATTTTAAGACACGGAGTTTTTTTTATTTTGGTCTGATATTTTTTCTATTCCTAGGCCTGGTCAGAGACAATTGTTGCAGTCGGCAGGGGGGAGTACCTCGAGAGGCAACAGACCCTTCACCTCCCGACCCACAACCAAACCCAAGGACAAGTGGAACAGCCACAAGGTCAGGCAGGCACAAAAAACAGCAACTTCTATTAGGATAATGAATTCCTTAAAATATCCATGAACTCTTTAACCCTTAACCTAGATGAATTGCTTAACTAAATGAATACCTTAACCTGGTTTAAATTCAACTTTTGCCATTATAACAAAATTGAAAAATTTGAGGTACGTTTTCGGGGTCGACAAAAAGTGAGTTGCGCTGTGATGTTTGCCTGATTTGCGTTTATTCCTTGTCTTATTTACAGCCCAGTGACTTGAATGAGAGGGTGCAGGGCGCGGCCAATCACCCCTTCTTCCATGTGAACGAACGAGTGGTGGAGAAAATGGTTATGGTCACACATCTGGGCAAGAGGAGATCCACTCCATGGTAAGGGCTCAATTAAATTTCTGCTTCTTATTCCGATCCCTTTTTTCTGAAGGTTGGGAGTAACTATATTTGGGTGTTTTTTTTTCACTACAACTCAGGTTTAAATTAGCGCTGTAATTCTCTTACTCTGTAATCAACTTATTGCAATGGACTTCAAAGAGAGCTCGTCTGTGTTTCAGGTGGAAGGATTTTTATCAGAAGTCGGCCGATGAACTCACTCAGTATCTCAAGCCAGGACAGGTAAACTACCTTTCTCACTCTGTGCGAAAAGTTTTTGAAATAAAATATTTTACATTAAATTAATTTCTATGTTGGAGTTATATTTAGAAGTAGAACTAAATTATATTTTACTTGCATTTATAAATAACAGTATGCATGCACAAGAATTTCTTTTCAGATGGGACCCCCCAACACGGCAGAAGAGTTTCATCAGCAGGGTCCATTATGGGACGAAAGGGCGGATAGAGACCCCGCCCTGGAGTACATTCCAAACATCGCCAGAAAAAAGAACATCTTCACCTGGAACGAAGCTATTCTGGGTACTTCTTGATCGAATGATGACTCACTTTTAAAATCTGTACAGATGATGTTAGACTGATTGCTGCTCTTACCATATACTGGAGTCATAAATTTAGTATTTGCCATAATTGATGCTCTTATTAGATTGACTCTAAAATTTGGGTGCGAGTTACAGATTTAGTTGTTGACTTTCAAGTTTTCGACCGGTAACTGTCATTCTTAAGACGTTAAAAAGTCAAAGGAAAGTTACAGAGAGAACGATCCTTGATAAACGCAATAGCGCAAAAAAAATTAGAATTATAACAATATAAGAAAGATAACTAGAGCAGAACTTTAATTCCCAACTACTTTTGGAGCCTGATAACAAATCTGAAACTACATGTGCTTTTAAAAGAATTGAACTTGCAAAAAATTATTGAATACAAAATATTAAGGATTACATAACCTATGTGATTCTTTGATGAATATAGTCAATCTAAATAAGATTGAGAAAAACGTATTTTTCGAAGCAACAACAAAAAAGTTGCTTTCATGGCCGTATTTTTTGCTAACAATTCAAACAAAGATATAGCCAGTTGCTGTGAAAGTAGCACAGAGCGATCCGACACCCTTTTCAGTTTTTTTTTTTTGAGAAGGCAGGGGATACGGCGCTATTAAGAGCTCCACGAGCTACTTAATTACACAAGCATAGCTTGTATTATAGTATGAACTCTTTTTTTCACAACCTATAAGTCGCAAATATTGTTGCGATGCAATTGTTGCGACAAAATGTGTTCATTTTCATCCAGCTATCAAGTACAGCCCCAAAGCTAAGGATATTAACACATACTATTAAATTACAAATAGCACTTCAACTTGCAGGTATCATGGATCTGTAGCGTAGAGGTAGGCAAGGAGAGCAGCAAAAAATTAAGAGGGTTCAAACTTGGGCAGGGTCGGATGTTTATAATGCACTTTTTCGAACACTAATTAAAGTGCGTCCGCTCTATAAGTTGAGGCATATTACTTGGTAACTTTTATTTTCAAATTGACTGGTACTGCTAATGCAGCATAATTGGCTTGAGTCACTTAGCAATTATGTAGACTCATACTTGGCGTGCGTCCCTTAATAAGTTTTGTAGACTCGAAGTTTTACTCATTAAATTTTTCCTAGCAGCGTTATCTGTCATATTTTTGCTTGTGTATGCGTTCTTTTCAAGCCTCTCCTTATTTTTTTTCCTATTTTTTGCCTAAATTTTAACATTAGACTAAATCACAAGATTTCAGTGAACAGCGCAAATATGGCGTAATAAATCGATATCTAAACTCAAAGGTAGGTACACAGCTTGTATCTATAGTGAAGTTTTTATACCTTTTTCAGGTTGCAAACCTTGCTCCTCCTATGCGGGGAGATCGAAGTAAACCCAGGCCCATTCATGTTTTATGAGAACCTCAAACGTTTTGCGGAACAACACCATGTGTACATCAAGTTTCTACCTCTAAACTGTAGAAGCCTAAAAAACAAATACTAAAGTAAGCTTCCTTTCAGAAGTTTTTGACTCAAACACTATAATTGGTCTCACTGAAACTTGGCTGGATGAAACATGCAATGATCTCACCTACTTCTGTGTCAACTCATATCATGTTCCGATGTGACCGAAATAAGACATGCTCTGGTCAAACCTCAGGAGGGGGTACACTTCTTCTTATGCAAAAAAAGTTTAACCCTAAGATCCGTGAAGACTTGAATTACTTACGTTCATCCCACTTCGAAGGCATCTGGATAAAAGTTAGCCCAATCATATCAAAGCAATCAAAAAGGCAGGTAATAGCTCTTGCTTAGAATGCACACAAGCAGTTTAAACAATTATTCATTGAAGACACATTGAAAGGTAATGACTATGTAGATTCGGAAGCCAGAGATTTAACTACTCTTTGAGATCTCAACATCAATTTCCTGAACAAAGCAGAAGCCAAATTTCTCAGCGACTTGATTAAACCATATCATTTGTCCTAGCAAATAAAACGTTGCCAACATATAACTCGGCACATCGCAGATCTTTCCTGGATTATATTATCACAACTAAATCTTTTTGTAAGAAGTTTCTTGTAGCTGAAGCACCATTCAATACGGACCATCGAATGACAATGTTTATTAGTAAAGTTAGAAGATCAGAGAACATTGTCCCAATTCGAATTTTGAAGTTCAACAAGGAAAAGTACAATAAAAGTCGATTTTGTGAGAACCTGAACCAAAACCCATGGTTTTTTATCTACCGAGAACAAACAGCATCAAACATGTTACTTAAGTTCAAACAAGTATTCACAGATGTTTTAATTATTCACGCTCTACTTGAAACAAAGTTTGCCCGTAATAAATCACCCCTTCAATTATTTAAAAAAGTGATGAACTCAATAGACGAATCATTGAGATTGAAAAAAGAAACTGCACTAAGAAATTTCCAGTCTTCATAAACTGTTTAGATTATGAAAACTTTAAACGCGCGAGAAATAGATACAACAATCATTTTACATTTTTAGACAAGAATGAGATGAAAGCTCATTTTCAGAATCTTGACAGTCCCAAAAAGCAACGGAACTTCATCAACTCTATAAGAAACACAGAGAACCAAACTGTCCAGATGAATGAATTGCGGAAATCATTTGGTAATTTAACCAATGATAATAAAAAAGAAAGCTGACCTGCTTAATTGTAAGTTTTCAACTTTAGACGTCCATAAAAACTCACATCCTCCAATTTCAATGTCCATCAAACCTACTGCTCTGAAAACTGATACGAAAAATTTCAATTCAGATATGTCACTCACAATGAAATGTTTGGAGCAATTTTATTGCTTCCAATCGATAAGCCCTTTAGGACCCAGTTAAACACCTGTTTGGGCTCTGAAAGACAGTGTGCACATAATGAAACCTACTTTAATTATGACAATGAACGAATGTATCTCGAAAGCTGAATTTCCACATGGCTTGAAAAAGCACATAATATTCCCGTATTCAAAAAGAAGATACAGCCGATCCAATCAACTACCGGCCAATTTCGTAACATCAGCTGTCTCTAAATTATTTGAAATTTTTTTTCAGCTCAAATAAATCAATTTTTGTTTGATAATAATAACCTGAACCGCAAAAAAAAATTGCTTTTATGCAGGGTTATTCGACCAATGTTTCTCTTCTATACAACAGAAAAAAATCAGATTCCATCTTTATCAAAATAAAGTAGCAGCAGCGGCTTTTATAGATCTCTCGGAAGCGTTTGATTCAATTTCACATCCCGTCCTCAAACAAAACTGAGGAATCTTGGTTTTCAACCATCAACCACTTATCTAGTAAATTCTTATCTAGAAAACATAGCAGCAAACAATTGTTAATGGTGCATATTCAGATTGGCTTAATTTGGAGCAAGGTGTACCTCAAGGTACTGTACTAGGACCTCGGCTGTTTAACTTACATTATAATGATATGCCAGAAAATCTAGATAAGTCATGTACTCTTGTACTGTATATCGGTAAAACAACACTGCTAAGTTACCATTGAAATCCGATATCCACAACACAAATCATTGAATCCAGTTTCAACGGAATACTTCCATTTTTTCATTTAAACGATTTATTGATAAATGTAGACAAAACTCAGTTCATCTTTTTCTCTGCTCCATCACAAAAAAACTCATAGAAAACTGCAAGTAGGAAATTAATAAGTCAAATTATCTGAATCCGTCTAGTTTCTCGGTGTTACAATAGATGCATGTGTAACTTTTAAAAAAGAAATTAACTAAGAGTTACAGAAGATGGCTAGTGCAATCCAAGCAATCAAATGCATAAGAGATGGATTTCCTCTGCGAACCAGAATCCTTCTACTCAATACCCTTGTATTAAGCCATTTACACTATCCATGCATGCTTTTGAATGGTTGTACTGAAGAAAATCTAGACAAGCTGGAAAAGCAAATAAAATGGGCATATGAATTGTCATGAACATAAACATAAGAGGTTCTTTCACATGTGTGAGGGAAAAACACAGAAGTCCCACTGCCAGAGATACAATTGAATACAGATCAACACAATACCTTCATAAATTTAGCCAAAACAGAATCAGAGCATTTAAATTCCTGCAGTTTTCTAATTCTAATTTCCGCTTCAATGATCGCACCGGCTCAATTCTTCTGCCAATATTGTGTAAAACCGAATTTCTTTGCAAGTCATTCCTATTTACATCAATAAAAAAGTTTTAACATGGTAATTCGAAAAATCATCCCCATGGAGAAAACCTGTACGCTATCAAACAAATAATTTTAAAATTGCATACTAGAGGACAATTTCTAATACATATAAAGTGTAGACTCTACCAACATCCAACTTTCTCCTTACTTCTTAAGCTGAGTCTTAAATAATCTTATGTATTCAATGACTGATGAAACTTTTTTTATTCACGTTTTCAATGATGATGTACACTTTTTCAAGCCACAATTAGTTTTGTAACTGCAACAATAAAGTGTTTTCTCTCTATTCTCCCTATGCGAAGTGCAACTTAGCCTCTGTGTTAGCAATTAAAAACAAATAGGACTGAAAGCTACTACCAAATTACTACCAAAAAGGCTTTAACATGGTGCTGCATTTAACTCCTTACGAGTTTATTTCAGCTGGCCGAAATCGGCTAAAAAACACACCCTACGCCATATTTCTGTACCACATTCTGAATTGGTCGGAACAAAAACCCCTTCTGTTTAAGTCAGTAATGACTTTCACTTGTAATGAAGGCAATCAGGAGTTTAATCTGTTCGCTATTCAAGGTGTTCTCTATTTTCGAATCACGGATCCAAATTTGAAATAATTTTTTTTGGAGCATCGACAAAATTTGAAACAAAAGCAGACGAAAAACTAAATTGATGGAATTCAACACTCAATTAAGAAGACCACAAAAAATTAACTACGCAGACAGATGCAAAATTAGTGCTGGAAACAAAGCTTTTCATTAAAAAATTTGTTCACAAAATTCACCTAAGATTGTTCAATTTTCATTCACAGACGAACGAATTTGAATTTTGTTACACCATTGCGCAAGGGTAGTAAACCGGAAGGAATTTCTGACCATAGTAGTTATTTCAAGACACGGAAAAAATGGTACGAAATTTCCCAAAATGAATTTTTTTTAGTTCATCGGTTTATTGGTCTCTTTTCAAACAATACTTTTGCTTCG